TTACTACTTGGCTTTCGGTACCATTTTGTAATGTAACCATTCTCCGACAGGTGAATTTGCACGTTCAGGAATGGAAGCCGTTTTTCTTTCGGTTTTTTTTCGGGTGAACTTGATGTACTCTGACTGTGTGTTTAACAACTCAAAGCATTTGTCCANGTTGTCTGGAGGCCTAGGATTTTCCCTACACCTATCCTGAGCTACAGTTTCGTAGCCATTAGAAATGGCTATTTGCCGTGCCAAGTTTCGGGACTCCTCTCTCTGTTCTCTTCCCGTACACACGTTGGTTGCCGTTCGAAACATGTTTCTTATAAGCGCCCTTTTCGTGTGAGAGGAGTGAGAGGAGAGGTAATGAACCAAAATGTTTTTACTACTTGGCTTTCGGTACCATTTTGTAATGTAACCATTCTCCGACAGGTGAATTTGCACGTTCAGGAATGGAAGCCGTTTTTCTTTCGGTTTTTTTTCGGGTGAACTTGATGTACTCTGACTGTGTGTTTAACAACTCAAAGCATTTGTCCATTTCCTCCTGTGTTGAGCAAAGGACAAAGCAGTCGTCTACATACTTACAGTAGAGTAGCGGCCCGAGATCAGTCACCGGTGCTTCCACTTTAGACATAAATGCAATGGCAAGGCTTGGAGCCAGTAGTTGTCCCATTGCCAACCCTCTTATTTGAGCGTAGTGCTTTCCGGACCATCTGAAGATTGAGCAGCTCAAGCATTCTTTTAAGAGTGCCATCAGGTGCTCTATCCTGAAGCCATACATGTTTATTTCTCCTTCGTGTTGTGTAAGGAGTTCGAATATGGCTTGCATTGCGGAGTCATTCGACACGTTTGTATAAAGGGCGGTAACGTCGAAGAACTCCATCACGCACGCGCTGTTGGGCTGCGCAGTACGTAGACGATCCAAAAACATCTGGGTATTCGTAAGATGGGCTGGAATGTGTTTCAACAACTGGTTAAATATTAGGGTTAAAAACCATGTCATCCTGTCCGTTGGCCCGTCTACACAGCTAATGATAGGTCTAACCTTAAATAGTGATGGTTCGTTAGACGCAAGATCACCGCTGGATACTAACTTATGAGTTTTTATAAGTAAGTACAAGACGGGACATGTTGGTAAGGCAACTTTAAGTTGAGAGAAAACTGATGGTTTCAAACCAGCAGCCCTTGCCATTTTGGCCCATTCGTGGTTTAGTTTTCGGTATTTACTTTTGAATTCCTCCTCAGATGATGGGCGATAAAGCGAAGCATCTTCAAGATGCTTTTTCGTTATCTCCACATCTAATCTAATCCTCTGATCCACAAAGGCTGTGACCGCCTGTGGTGGTGACGACTTGCTGCATACTTTGGCCAGACTCAACGAGGAATTCCAGGGAACCACAGTGGCTTGACCAGCGATTCATATCAATAACAGCTGCCCTGTTTAAAAGAGCAATACTTCTTATGTATGCCTCATTCGTGTGGTATTCCACTAAAAAAGAACCGTCTCGGTACGACCGTGAATGCGCCAGATCGAGAAGACGAACGACTGTGCACCGCCAACTCGGATCACCGGCTTTGATCATCGGCTGCGATGAGGACGAAGGCGTCGGAACATTAGCCGAAATTATTCTCATTATCAACCTTGTGTAAGCATAAAACTTTAGAAACAATAACAAGGCTATTTATTCACGAAAAATGAAATTCTGATTCGTCACAGCACGCAGAGTTTAACTTTGATTTCGTTCTTCAGTTCTTTAAGCATTTGATTTATACAAGACTTGAGCTGAAACCAACATTTTGTAGGAATTAGGCGTCTTTTCTATAGATCTGTCACGTTTTCAACCTCAAGTACTTTGATTACCGCAGAACTAACATCGTCCACTACATGTTGAGCACATGAGACGAGTTTTGACCAGTAATTAACTCTTATTTTATGTTCAGTCGCTACAATTAATCATTGGGATCTTACTGAATGAGTATAAAAAATTCTGAAATCTAATTCATAGTTGTCATGAAACACTACTAAATGCTGACAGCCAAGCAGTTTTGTAGCGGACGAGTTCTCCTTCGCCATTAATGATTTGAATGTTTCAAGAGTAAGAGTGAGTACATAAAAGAAGTCATAGAATGTGTGGAAGACGAAAGCCGCCGAAAGCTTTAGAAAACCGTATGAAATTCCATTTCAAAAAATCGAATTTAGGAGAAGAAAGTATAACAGAAGAGGTGAATCTATTTACTAGATGCTAGATAGTGTGGCATGTGTTGGAAACCATTCACTGGCGAGTGTGCTGAGCAATGAGGCATAAAAATATTATAGGCGCGTCATCAATGTGAATACGGGTGTGACTTCAAATATTGAAGTTCTTTATTGCTAAAACTATAAGGGTAAAAGGAAAATTTATTCATCATCGCTGCATATCCATAGTCATAGATTAATAAACCAGCTTGATATCATAAAGGGTTTAGAAGGTGTTATGTAATGGGCGTTCCATCTTGCATTACTACGTTTTCGCACGGTACTTTAACACTCGGAACGGCGTAAATAAAATTTTACTGTGCAGATAATCACGTAGCATATAAACAGCTCTGTTATTGAGTTACACAGCAATTCATGGTTAGTTAGACCAAGTTACTCTCGAATGAGAATTTATGGTAATTTATCAACCTGACACAATATAACGGCAGTGTTGGAGACCATGATCATCAGCAAGAGGTCGACAGAAGGATATATTTGTTGATTAGAAAATTTATCATGAAAGGATATCAGATAGGTAGTTCTCGATGAGCAGTGATTAGTGCGAACGTGTCTTTTGAACAACTTAGGCAAAACGAATAATAACCGGCCGAAAAACAAGACAAACACAACCTACTTTTTAAAATCTGGATTGAAACGGTGTCTTGTGACACACATCTATTCCAACACACAAAAATATAAGCATTGATGATCATCGATCATATTAAAATTACACTTAAGGCATTTATACATCAGTAGGCACCACCGACAATGGTCCGAAAAATCCAAGCGGTAATGAAGCGATGAGAGGTTTACTTGTGTGAATGACATTCTGCTTATCGTCCGCAGTCGATTCCGCAGTTTCCGGTGGAGGAGTTTGTGGGCAATGTTCAATGTCGGCAATGATACTCACCGACAGGATGAACTTTTCCCTATAATATTGATTCTCGTGAAAGTGTTACAATTGATCAAACCTATAAGAGGTGTTAGTGATTCGCAAATAGCAATTACCTCCATAATTTTTTATGTATGATGCAAAGTCAATGGCAAGCAAATCTGCCAGTTAACCGCTGATAGTGGATGTTTGATAGAAGAATTAGAAGAAATACAGAAAAAGATATAAAGGCTAATAAACGTTAATATTCCAGTCGTTTCTGGCTCTTTGAATTCATAAGACTTTCACGTTAATTTCCACGGAAATATTAAAAGGTTCAATATTAAAAGGTATGATTTTCTAAAACCTTGGATCGTAGCGACGGCAAAGAGCAATGAGTGAAGGCTCCTTCTGCTCTCTAAGCAGGGCGACGATGGTGTAGTAATGCAGAAGGTGGTGTTCCGGAATCATTGAAAGTGCATTCCATCCATGAGTCACATATGCCTAGAAACGTATTACAATGTTTACAGGTGAAACAAAACGCACGTGAAGCAAACCAAATATGAATATTAGGACACATTTGGAACGAAGTTACGTTTTCTAAACCCAGTTTCATGCAAGCTTTACTTTACAGAAAATTTCAAAACATATTCAAAAGTTGAATGGGGGACAAAAACCAGGCCAACTACAGCTGTTTGAATAATGGAGCACCTAAGTGATCACACAAGAATTAAGATCTGGAAATAAAAAACTGTGGAACGACTTAAATGTAAAACGTTCTTTAATCTTACGTCTATCTAATGCAGCTTTACAGACGGACAAAAAATAAGAATGTTGACAATTAACCAAATGAATTCTGGGATGAAGAATTGCCGACATTACGCATACATATTTAAAGCTTGAGCGTCTTTATTTTTCCACTTTTTCTCATTTTTCTTCTGTGTTTCCAACGTATACTTGCTTGGACACTTGGATACTTGAGTGTCTCGTCCTCACTGGTTGTGCGGGTCCCAGCATAGTCTCCATTTTTTCGCAGTTTTGTTGGTTTAGCCGTTACTGTATTCCCTGGACTCCAGAGGTCAGCTCGGTCAAAGTCCGCCCAGGTCGCCACCACCACAGGCAGTCGTCACCCTTGTGGATGAGAGGGAGATTTGCCATCATGCGACTAGTTTTATACCGGGATGGAGGCCGATCCTGCTATTGGTTTTCTCCTAGCTAGGTTTCTTGATGGAAACGTCGTACTCTTTCTCAGCTTAAGAGGCCCTGTCAGGGAGATGAATCCACATGCTGTACAACCCAGTCCGACACCGACGAGCACCTCCCAGCCACGATGAAGCGGTAAACCGTTGGGGATTTTATAACGTACGACGGGCATAAATTTAAAAATTCATGTGTTGGCTTAGCTGACAAATGAAATGACTGTACAGTAGTAGTCGAATAATCGTACTTTTGAACTACATTGTAAATTTCGGCTACCCAACATAAACGAATGCATGATGTGACTTTGAAACAGCATGATGCGAGCGAAAACTCTAGATAACTATTATACCTGGGCCATTTGGGGTGACGGCAGTCGAATGTTCACGCTTCCTCGTCCACTATTCATGTAACCGCTTCTGGCTAGTCGTGACAAGCTTCCTTGAGCCAACGGATCTTCTCTCACCTTTACATGGAAAATGACTTCCTCAATTTAAGGCGTCAGTGAACACACCGTGACCAACCTTCATAATGACATCCTTACACAACGTATTAATTCGTGAAAATGAACATCCACTGCTGTGTTTAGACCAATCTTTTAATCTAAAAAGAAAGCGAGGCGTAGAGAAAATGTTGTTAAACTTAGGAACTTTTTTACACTGATTTCAGTTCAGGTGTGTCGCTTATGGAACGTTGACGCACAGTGAAGCACCTTTTTACTGCTTAGGGAAAGAGGCAGAACAATGCCAAATCCAAAATATTAAGGACATTGCGAAATCCTACTTAGGTTTCCAGAAATGTTTCGAATCTGCCTAAATGAATTCCGAATATTTGATTCACAGATTGGAATTAGAATGCTAAAGATAAGCGTCTGTCAACGTTCCTAACATAGCTGCCAAAAAATGATTAATTTACATTAGGTTAGAAAAAGCGAAGTTGAAGAGTATATCTTGAAGTATACTATATAAAACCCTAATAGAGAAAAAAATATTTAAGCCCACATCAAAATGACTAAGTAGAAGTCTCATGAGAACACTGGATGCTTGTATCTACCTGCAGCTCTTGCAGCAATAGTAAGTGTAGCAGTGCTTGCAGGTGACGTATTCCAGTCGAGCCATGGCTAGCTCCATCGTTTTGTGACAGTACGAGCATCTCACGAATAGCTGTTCAGACTGCATGAAATACACGTTTTAGATGGATATGTACTTTAAATACTACCACTGAGTGTATCAAGAGATAATCGTTTACTTTAAGTAGTGATTCCGCTTTGTTTGGCTGTCTCATCACTTGCTCCATTAACATATAATTTTTCGAGTAAATTCCTGGACCGGATTTATTTCTTTGATATGCTCCATCTGCTTGAGGAATGCTTGAATAAGAAGGCATAACGATAGTGACAGTTGAAAAGCAATGAATGCAACAACCCACCTAGGATCAAATGGAGGAGCAGTAGCGGGCGATGTCTGTTGGAAGATAGAATCGAGCACTTCTTCTAACGTTACTCGACCGCCGTAGCGTAACGCGACGTTTTCTAAATTAAACCAAAAAGCTTTCAGAAGAGGTAGTTTTTCATTCCGCATGTTTAGTTAGTACCTTGGTTTTCTTCGGACTGCTTGGAACCTAACAATGTATCTGCCACTTCGACAACACGAGAGTTACTGAAAGCCAGTGAACAATTAGCTTTTCACCATGTACTGATTTGAAAAAGCACAGTTTTTTAGTTGATGCCATAAAATCATTAACAACACATTATGAAGGTTTAAGAGAAATCTTCTGAGGTTACTTGACAATCGTCAATATTCAAGGCATCATTATCATTTGAATCTATCTATTAAACCTTAAACGTTAAACAAAGACCAGTTAAAAGTTCTAAAACACATCCACTCAACATAGGAATTCTATACTACTACTCCACTACTGTTAACACGCTCGTGACGAATGACACCTATATGTCTCACATTGCTTTTGTTGTGGTGGTCGTTGAAACACCTATAGGTATCATTTTCGTTCCGGCAGTGGGTAATATTAATGCACAGAAGTTTCCCCTTATCCTTCTTGTAATAAAACGGTAGCTTATCCAACGTAGATGCTATGGCGGGCGTCGTCCATAGAAGGATGTCTTCTGAATAATTTTCCACTAACTTATCACTTCGTGGCGAGACATTATTGTTGTTCAAAAGGGTTGAGGGCTATGGAGTGTATCCAATGAAGATGCGCAGAAATGACTACACTTCGAGGAACTAGCAATGCATGCAGTGTGTAGTATCATTTTTGATAGCAAATTCGTTGCTTTCCAGACTTTGGTTGCAGTGATGACTTTAAGGTATTGGTTGTGATGAGAAGATATCAAAACTGAAAACTGATCACCGTAATAATCCTTGAAGAACTTCTTCAACTTCATTAAATACCGACAAGAGTATAATTACATAAGGAACCAGTGTTTTTCTTCATATACAAGATCTTCATCTACGACAAAAAAAGGGAAGACATAAAGAAGAACATGGAGCATACGGAGGACAAGATAAGCTCAGATTTTTCAAAGCGCAGAGAAAAACGGATTTTATATGAGGGAAATCACAACAAAGGGGGCGGGGCTGCTTAAAAACCGCTGTAGTCACCGGCGTGACACCTACAGGTGCATAGTGAGACAGCGAAAAACTGGGCGTCAGCCATTCAGCAAAATGCGAAATTAGGTGTCGTCACGAGTGTGTTAATGTAGAACACATGCACGTAGGCACGCACCGTTTCCTAGCCTGTTCTCCAAGATTCCAACCTCCTATCGGCACCTTCGACACGGTGTAGCCAGGAAGCGCTCGTTGATCCAGCACATTAATGTCAGTAGAAGAGATGGTCTGATTCAAACCTCATTCTATATTGATTCATAAAAACATTTATTTGATCAGTTATCAATGCTAGTGTTAAACTTGTATGTCCACAGAAAACACTTTTTCTCTGTTTTCTTTCCCTCAGAGGCCAGGGCCAATTTATACCAGTTCCTCGAAGTTTCTTAACTATCATTACTAGTAAAATAGTAGAACCAGCATTTTGCTGAAATTCCGCACACTAATTTAAATTTCCATCCGATCCATAAAGAATGGAAAATGTTTATGGTTATCACATCGGATTGCCTTAACAGGAATAAAGAAGAAAAGAACTGCCCTAATAGCCTAAGTGATGGTTCAGTGAATATTTCAGCGAATCAGAACAATTCAAGAAGACGGGCAATCCAGTTCCCAAAAAAAATGGTGAGTACTACGTGCGAAACAGATGCTTGATGGGCTACGAAAGCCATGATATGGTAGGCTACTGAGCTGCTTTGCGACCTGGTAGACGATCACCTCTTTTCTTGCCAATAAGGGAGGCAAACTGGCTTATTTTTCTGTGATATCGGCCGCGATATACCCAGAACTTTATCTTTAGGAACTTGAACTTTCAATGTAGCTTCCTCTGACGAGATAATGTGCAACATCAACCAGTTTATTAGAAACAGATGGCCATATTGGAAATAAATACCCTTTAGACGTTGAGTAGGTTATTGCAAAGGTCTTCTCTTCAAGGTCGATCTTCCTTATTTAGACTCCTTCCAATCTTTTGTAAGCGCGCAATTGTCTGCTTCGCCGAAAAAGTCGTCTGACGTAGCGACTGCTCATTATCATTTTGGACTACGTGCAGTTCTCAAAACTTTAATGGCATGAGCATTACCTACCGCTGGTGCAGCTAGAACATCTTAAAAAAGGTTTTAAGAAATATAGTTTTTTAAGTCATGGCTCCGGTTGTCCACCATGCCAATTTTCTTTTTTCTTTCTTGCAAAAGCGCTAGCTGTCACTACGCATATGTGGAAGTTTTTACGTCTTCGATTGATCAATAAATCACGGATATCCCGATTTTTCACACCACTTAACGCTCACCTCCTGAGAAAACGATTTCCTCCGTGGAAGACCGGGCCTGAATCCCTGAAATGAAGTTTTGCGTTTTGTATCTAAAAAGCTTGTGAAGGCTTCAATGCTACTAGGGGATAAGTCCTTCACGCATGATCTGCTAAACCCACTTTTATATGAACTGAGTTCAGAAACTTGTATAGTTCAAGAAAAAGTCTGTTCCTGATGTCTGAAGGGTTTTAAAAAAAAATCTGGGCTACTCCGATTTTGCTTTCGTGCGATGCCTAAGACGAAAACAACAATCTTAGATCCAATCACCAGAAAAGCAGCAAAGCACGGAAAGGACTAGAAAATACGGTTTTTCCTTAATAGACAGGCAATCTCTAAAGGCTTAACCAGTGGAGGAATCAGCATTTAAACAGTAAAGAGTAGCACCATACCAGCAACACGCACACTGGAATGATAAAAACGGTTCATGCAATATATAGCTTTATTATTTAGAAATAAACCCCAAGATTCGTGCTGGAAAGTTTCTGTATAAGAGGCTACCTTAAAGGTTAAAGACGACAACAAGTACAGAATGTACGACAATGGACAAACCAAATGCTGGCGGACGATCCAAGGAAACAATACTCTCATAATTTAAATCACACATCTCTAGTGGCGTAATAAAATATTTCATTGACCGACTGCCATCATTAAAAAAGGTACAAAGCAAAAGTAGTAGTTGTTAACATGCAAATGGGTAAAAGAAACACAAAAAAAGGAGGAGCAAACAGATGGAGACAACAACACATTCAGCAATGCCAAAACAAAGTATAAGCCTGCTGAGTCTACAACGCTACTACCTGACGTTGGTCCTGTCCAAGGTGGTGAAGAGAGGATCTCGAGCGCCGCAAATCCTCGATTTCGTCCTTATACCGATCGAACATCCCCTTTGGAAACTCAACGCCTATGGAGGTTGTTGGAGTTGTTCGATAGCCAGCAGTGTAGCTGAACGGTTCGTAGCGCTGCTCTTGAGAGAAGTGATGTTTCGTAAGTGGCTCTTCAGCAGCAGATGGCAAAGGAACGAGATGAGCAGGTCGCGGAAGTGTGAGATCAATGTCCGTGGGACGAGCAGTTATGCGACTTACACGGTACCACTCAGGAACGGTGAGTTTCTCGGTAGATTTTAAGAAGCGCATCTCATGATCGGAAAGATGCGATGACCTCGTAGTAGGTTCACCTAGCGTTTTTTGCAGCTCGTTCTCTGGAGGAACTGTTTCTTCGCGTGTTCTGAAACATCTATGAACTACTGCGTCAAAACAACATTACATTCCTTTGAATACAAAACAGCACCTTTTGTCCATAAGATAATCGGCACTGCGGCTTCTAATGTGAACGGCATCTGGATTTTCCTCAGCTTGATCACGTCTGCTTTGACGGTGATAGTCGAAAGCTGACCCAGATCGCTGGTGCACATCATCCAAATTTGTCTCCTCAACCTAAAATTAGTCTTGCAAACTATACACGCTTCTCTACATACTTGTGCATCTTGTGCATTTTCTTTAACTGCGGAAATTGTAAAGTGTTGTAAATGAGCAGAGAATGAGATTGTAATTTACTTAACGACCAACAAGAGGGAAAGGTTGAGGAAAATATAAAATGCAATTTCCTGGTGCTTTCTGCTTCCCTACCTCTTTAGTTGTTGATGTGCGTTCCAGTTTCCCGGTATCGACATCAGTCTCGAGAAAATTTGTGCTCCAATTTCGTGACCTACTATAGAGGTTCGGATGTGACATCCTCATACGATAAGCCGCGTATTTTCGCTCTGTTTCTTCCAGGAGACGCTCGAACTCCTAGCACAAAAGCAGAGGGGTTAGCAAGCGCAGGCAATATGTCATAGCAAAGGAAAGGATATACATTGGAAGGATAGTAGGAGCAAAGCGATTCAGACAACGGATAAATGATCGCCTATCGATGAACTCACTTGGCTATAGGGACTAGGTCCTACCCTCGGATAGGGAATGCTAACAATGTCGGTCTTTGATTTCAATTCACCACCATTGAATTTTTGAGGCAAGGGACCACGATATTCCGGTCGAACCCTTCCAGCTACATCCTCCTGCGATTTTCGGAAGCGTTCCGCCACGGGATCTAAATCGTTAAGATTGCTATTCCACCTTGGCTCAAAATCTATCGTCGTGTATGAGAAGCTCACATTGATCCACATTGGAATCGGTGAATGTAAGGTCTCTCTAGTTATTTTTATAGCGATTCAATTTTTATTTTATTTTCATTAGTGAAGCAAGACAATCTTACCATGCACGCATAGCCTATCATTAAAGAGTTTAAAGTTTAAAAGAATCCACAGAAAGATAAAACTGCTCAAAATGCAAAAGTACGAGGGGAAGAGCCTCCCATTTCTGCGGATTGGTAACACCTTCATAGTTCTGTTATTCCGATTTTCCTAAGTTATAATGAGAATGTGTTTTAATTTCAACTATTTCGCTATATCTGTCCAAATGGCACCTGGATATCAGATTCGATGCCGTTTGAATTCTAATTTTTTTCCTTACCGGGGAGTAGCGCACTGACTGGTGATTGCTGATGACAAAAGATCGATAGAACTAACTGAGAGACAGGCAAAACGAAGGACCCGGATGGTGTGGTGGTGAAGTGCGCTGCTCCCCGGTAAGGACAATAGAGCGCGTTCGTTCCCCACCGCACACACCTGCGGTCCGGAGTTTTGCAAATATCTCAGCATTTCATATAAGTTATATTTCGCAACATACGCTGCCATTAAAAAGAAAAAGGCAGTAAATAAAAGGGTTAAGATTCTACTTTCTTCTTATATTTCATTATAAACTATAACCTGTTCAAGGTGAAGCGGGTATGAATGGAGTTATCGAACATAAATTCAGCCCTTAGCATGTTATGTGTGTGACACCAGATGGGAAAAAGGTTTATCTTTGATATTATAAAAAATAACGACAAACAAGGAACGTTTCATGATCACATGATGAGTTTGCAGTTATTTAAGCTCTTACAAAAAACAAATTAAGATTCAATGTGGACATAAAGGCGTTCATTACCTGACATTCTCAAGAACTCCAATTTGAAAGGCAGTGGTAGCACACTGCGATCACACAGTTCCCATGTTCAGGTGCTTTATTGAGGATCTGTTAGTGCGATTCGTGCGTTTAGACTTGTGCGCAAGTTATTGAGCTATTCAACTGAGGTCACACACACAATAAATGCATTGTAGAACTGAATATGATATGTTCAAAGGTAAGTGTATACCTGGTTTATACGAATAAACACATTTCTTTAGTTGAAAAATCGAAAGGCGTGCGTCGGCATAAAAGGCACAAACCCCAACATGAAAGCAAGGTTTCGAAAGAAATGAGTCATTGGCCATATATTGTAGTTGTTCAGTGAACATGCATGATAATCAGTAAAAGATAAGTAGTAAGCACGAAATTCAGCGTTGGCAAAACAATGCACCTATGCTGAAAGGATATGCCTAACGAAATGGATGAAGAGAAGACATCCAAGCACTCGACAGTGTTCACTTGTCACACTTGGCACTTAGTATACAGTTTATAGCGTACACTATATAGACTTCGCCAAAAGTGACTAGTCATCAATCATTTACAACGGAAATTACATATGTTAGACTTCCATACCACTAGTTTCCGGAGCACCGGCGATGAATTCACGTCGGGCTTTCTCCATTTTCGCACGATAACGGCTAGTTCTAAACAAAACCTACTAAAGAGTAAAGTAGTAGTAAAATAAAGGTGTTTAAAGACTCAATGAAAGAAATGAGTTTACTAATAACACCGTATGACAATTTACCGTGTGGATCCATTTCTGTTGAGCTCGTTGGGATTGTAAATTCTATCACGGACATTCTCCTCGTTAGTGGAATCCAGAGAATAAGAAACTGTCTGTTGAGATGGAATTCGTACATCATCCACCCATATATTACGATCCACACGTTCAATCACCTTAAAATGTCAACTATATTCTTTTTAGTAGATAAGAAGTTGGTTGTCGAAGATTACCTGTCGTTCAACTTTCGTTGTGAACTCTGGATTTGAAAGATTTTCTCGAGAGAAATAGGGCGGCCTTGTTAACTTCTGCAGTGTTTCACTCGATGTGAGGTATTGTTTCTTCTTACTCATGGCTTCTTTTTCAGCTATTAGGCGTCGTTTCTCAGCTTCGAAACTTAAACCATAGCGACATTACATATGCAGGAATAAGCACTGCAGAACACCTACCGCTCTTTTTCCGTTCTCTCCCGTACAATAAGATCGAGTTTATCACGTGAGCGTCTATCTTCCTGTAAAAAGTGGACTATTTTAAAGCAAAGGTCGCAGAATAAAGAAGTCGTATTAGAAAAAACAACTAAAGGTGCGAAAGCAGAGGAGAACATTCACGCTTACGCACTCTTTGACGCGCTGCAGCGCGTTCTTCTGCTTCCCTTCTTTCACGATCCCTTATCTCTTGGTTTCTTCGCTCCTTTTCACGAAGCTCCGCCAGGCTTCGTTCCTCCTCGAGCCTTAAAAAATGTCGCAGAATTATATCATTAAGAAGTGTTCACAATGTGCAAATCATCTCACCTTTCAATCTCCCGTCGCTCATTAGCTTTCCTTTCCATTTCAGCAATCTCGTTTGCTTTACGATCAAGTTCTTCCCTCTGTTTTTCCCTTTCCAAATCAAGTTTCCGCTGCATTTCGCGGTTTGCAGCAGCTCTCTCCAATTCATATACACGAAGTCTCTCCTTTTCTTCTTCTTCCCTGCGTTTTCTTTCCCTCTCCGAAGCTGCCCTTCGTTCTGCATCTCTGCGCGTTTTTTCCCTCAATTCCTCTTCTTGTAACCTTGCCTCTCTTTCAATATCCTCCCGTCTCTCACGTTCCCTTTGTTCCTTCTTCCTTAACTGAGCATCGAGAAGCTCCTTTTCTCTTCTTTCGTCCTCTAGCCTTTCTCTTTCTCGTCTTGCCGCTTCTGCTCTTTCCATCTCCACGCGCTGTTGCTCCCGACGAATGCGTTCCAACCGCTCCTTTTCCTCCCTTTCCTGCTGCCTTCGTAATCGCTCCCGTTCTTCTGCTTGTCTCTGAATATCAGCTAGAAGATCTGCTTCTCTACGTTCCTCCTCTCTTCTTCGAGTTTCCCGTGCTTCGTCTATCAGTCGCTGCTTCTCGCGTTCCATTGCCTCTATATGTTGAAGGTCTAACATCTCTTTTTCACGAATTTGAAGCTCTATTCTCTCCCTCTCTAACCGCTCAAGCTCTTCTCGTTCCTTGCGCAACCTCTCTTGTTCTTCTCGCTCTTTTTCTTTTTCCCTTTGTTCCCTTTCAATTCGTTCTCTTTTAATGCGTTCAATTCTCTCAATTTCTATTCTCTCCCTCTCGATACGCTCGAGCCTCTCCTTTTCTCTTCTTTCTTCCTCAAGCCTTTCCCGTTCCAGTCGTTCTCTTTCTCTTTCGAGGCGAAGTAGCTCCCTCCTTTCCTCTTCGGCTTGTTCTCGTCGAAGCCGCTCTTTTTCGATTAATCGTGTTCTGGCCAATTCCTCTTCTTCTAAACCACGAATCTCGTTCTCTCTTCTTTCCCATTCAGCACGCCTTTGCATTTCTATCCTTTCTCTTTCTAAACGGACCCTTTCTATGCGCTCCTTTTCAACCCTTTCCTTTTCCGAGATGGAATGTTCCAGATCTTTTTCTTTGCGCTCTCGATCCAGTCTTATACGCTCGAGAAGCTGAATGTCACAGACTTTGTTTTACTATTTAAACACAGACTATCCAAAAACGCTACATCGCCTACCTCTCGTTCGTGCTCTTCCCATGCACGACGACTGTCTTCCTCTCTTCGTCTCCTCTCGTCTTCCTCTCTTCTTCTTTTTTCTTGTTGCTCGCGTACCTTTCGTTCTTGCTCTTCAATATCGTGATGGTAAACGACTTTATAATCTACCGTTCTCTGCTCCCGAGTATTGGTATCAGGATAGGCGATATAACGTTGTATGGGTGAAGAGCGTCCTAATGGAGGCTGAAAATCAACCATAACAGCGACATTGATGAGAAAAGTTAAAGATTTGCACTGTAAATAATGATGTGACCTGCAAATAACTTAATTAAATGACAAATACAAAAATACAAGAGCCATTCACCTGTTGCGATAAAGCTTCTGTGCTTCGTGTGATTACTGTTCTCGTCATTACTTCTCGTCGATAATATTCGTCCTAAAAGCAAAGAAAATCAGAAGTCTCTCAATACTATTCCTAATAAAAGCAACCAATAACGAAATTTTAAAAAAGTAAGTTAGGAAATGGAACAATTTGGCCACTGAACTTGTAATCAACGATGAGAATTTCGAATTAGTTGATATAATTTACCTGCACCTCCCCATGATGACATGCACTCATGCTTGGCATTTTGTAGTCGAGCACGCTAGTGGGAGCAGAGGACGATGATCGAAGCACGGGGATTTCGCGAACAGTAGCACGCGAGGGCGCTTGCTCTGAGAGCAGGTCCTCACGAGAAGAACAACCCGACTGAAAGTGCAGCTGAATAACGCTCATCGTACGACGAACAACGAGCAATCGAACAGTCATTTCTTACACGACGAAATCTCTTTTGGCTAACAACTAGCACAAGATGAGATAGCTTTCTGTGAATATGCCACTGATATAGGAATCATTCGAGCGAAAAGAATTTATGGAAGAGCTTATATACAATGAGTGATGCACTCCGATGATTCGAAATTGACTGTAGCCAAAGGCGTTTCGGTTTGAAATGCATTGTGAAAGAATGTCAATGCTGCAGTTGTTGGAAATACTGCATGAGTCATAATGTATACAACACGAACAAGGGAGACGGTACTTCAGAGGAATACAACTACCTGCAAAAGGGGCAAATGCTAGTCGAAAAACAGACGAAAACATGAGCAGCAATCCGAAGCCGGTGGACTTGTAATTAACATCTTTAGAACTGCGAATCAAGATTTATATCGAGAGAATGACGAGCAGGCGTCGCGTAGCCAACATTTTTATTCCCTTTTGGTTTTGATAAATTTATTAAGAATGGCATATGCAAGAACTCTTCCTACATGTAACGTGGCTTGCAACTATCTTATTTGAGGCGCCTTGAACTCCATGAAAAGAGATAACCTATGAATGGATCGTTCTTTTAAAGATTTCAATGCACTAATAAAGTGACAATAGCCTACCGAGGAACCACTATACGTCTAGAATTGAATTATAACATAGGTAAAGAAATAAATCACTCAGAATCGTAAGACCGCATAACGGAACGTCGGCACAACTGTGCTCGTCAACGCATTACATCTTTTAAAATTAAAAAAAGCATCGAAAAACAGCAATTCTTTAGAAATGCGTAGTTTAAAAATTGCACCACGTCACAAACAATGCCTGCTACACAAGTTATGTTTACGGGAAAAAACCTTCACTTTGAACTGAACAAAATATCACAAAAAATGGCCAAACTTTTGACGACTTCAGCGAATCTAGTTATCGAAAATGGGCTTGACTAAGAATGCGATAAACATGACAACAAGATATTAAGTCTTAGAAGATGTATAGTAGTAAATGGAAGACGAAGAAAAACAAATGTGTTCCACGGGTATCTGCACGCATTGATAGTTGATTTCACATTGCAGAGGACGACTGAGGAGAAGCGGAGGTGATTTTCTATGTGATTTGCTCATATTGGTAAAAAGAAGCAGAATCTCAAATATTGTGCAAAACCCTTTCTGGCGAATCGTAAAATTGTACCAAGCAATCACGCTCAACATGAAGAACATAAAGGGCATTGATATCAATGAAACATAATTTATAATGTATTAAGAAAATGTGGACACAATGTGGATGAGGTCGCAGTGAGCATGAAGAGACACATGATGTCCAGGTATTCACTATGACCGATGGTCCTTGTGAGTCTAAGCGGTGACAGCAAATTTCGTACACAACACACAAATGCGGAACGCAGCGTAACAACTTCCTCTGTTTGCCCACCTGTTATCGACCACATGCGCCAGAATAGTATCCTTCACAATGTCGCATTGATTGCTAGAAGAGGATGAAGGCAGCACGACACGGCTGCGAACACCAACAAAGTCAGTCAGCACAAAATCGTACTCGTTGTGTGTAAGGAAGACTTGAAACAACTTGCACTAGCGCGAATTCATCTCAATGTCAAGACACTATATTCTCAATAAAAAAGCTCGTAAAACGGGATGTGAAGGTTTTTCAATGTAGCAGACGCCGTAGCAGGAAAAAAATCAAGCTGAGCAGGTTTTTTTGCTGTGGGACGATCAACCGAAATTGCGTCATTATGCGAGTAATGTAGGCAACACAAGCGACTGGAATTTGCGATTAGAAACGCACAATGCGATCACGGTGTTGATCGCAGATTTCGCAGCCGCCTCGCTATACGATGCCGCTCGAATGCCGATGATCATCGCAATTCCAGATTGGTCTTAAAGGAGACTGGCTTCAGCCCCTACACAGTTTTGCTCTTTGCACAGCATTCAAATAAGCGATTTTCCTCGAAGCAGCACCACATGCACAACTGAGAGCCGAAGCTGTTAGAGTGGTGTTGTCCATCACGACCTGACGGGAGCTTTTACCCTATGCCTTGCTAGCTTTTGGCTCCATTCCAACTTAGGGATTCCTAAAATACTTTTGAAACTGCTTATCTGAATTAAAAAAACTGCTGCTTCGAAGTGATGTTCAGATTCTGCTGGACTACAACACGTAGCCCTAATCGGTTACCTAGTGCGAACCATGTGGAGAACGACTTACAGGCATAGCACTCAGAACTTAAGACGATATAGGTGCTCCTTGATCCAAACATCTCAGTTTTTAACATAGAGATATCTCCAACTACGTGGAATGCAAAAATAACTGCATTCTGAAACAACATGGGTACGTTACTCTGTGACTAGTTATTCATAAGCTTCGAATGTAACGATGATTGTCAGAGTTCACTGATTTTAACTTGCTAATTGCGCCATCCAAAATGGTTCACATTTGCAGTAAACAGAGTGGCGAATCTGAACAATGCAGATAGATTCCTGCCGAAATGTCGGAATGTTCCATAGCAATAACAGTATTTTAACAAGAATGTTCGTCGTATGAAACTCATAGAAAGGAGAAATTGACAAGAAAAACGGTAATACCATGTAGGGAAGGGATATAAGTCAAACCTAAAAACTTGCGCACAGGTCACAACTGAGTAGCTGCAATACGACTGTCATGTTTCCAAAATATGTGGATGCAAACCTTTGAAGCTGTGCTTATTGTTGCCGCTATCGGTAATGGATGAGATGGTGGAGGTGGTGGTGGTGGCGGTGGTGGTGGTAATGGTGGTGGTTCACGAGGGGGAGAGCTCATTCCTTGATCTGAAAACTTAAGTGTTACGATTTCATTGAGAATTGTCCCAAAAATAGCTGTTGCACTTACAAGAGTTATGATTTATTCATAAATATGCGTGAGTGAACGGCTGTCCCACACTTAACATAAAGTAGGCTTGACCTTGAACTACATGCGCAGTGGATGACTGGGATTGCTCATCGCGCGACAAGTGATGACTCGCCGTAAATGAGGGATCCTCATAACGAGCTCACGAGCACAAAATCTGGAGAGGACTGTGGGCTCAAGGCAAAATAAGGGCTTTGTTTGAGCAGTCCATAGAAAACGGTTCTTATTTTCGAGTAAAAATTTACCGATAGCAATTCACTACGAAGAAGAACCAGTGTTCAACCATAAAATCTATATATATGCAGGAATCAGTTAAAAGCAGAGAATAACGTAATTGCCAGAATCATGTCTCCATTCATTCACGCTATGCATTAGGAAATATGAATGGATTCACATTCACAACCGTTTCACAATGATGTAAATACTACTGGTAGCTAGGCAGCAAATCCTGCGCATACGGTGCTGTAATCATTATGTGTGCACTGGTGAGGTCGACAACAACAATTATCGGTATTGAATGGACAAAACGACGGAGAAGGTGAAGGTTGGAGGTAAGCTGGGTGCCGACGGGTGTGCGCAAGCCTCTTCTGTTTATTGTTACTCGAGCCGGTCACCGCAACCGCCGCCGCCAGGTGGCCACGCCTTCATTTAAACATCTCTTATTGAGACTCATGCTACAGCTCGACCACCATCTCACTCTTCTTCTTAGATAACTACCATTTTTTGAAATTTTATACCTATAAACATATCTATAAGGGTGGGTGTGGCGCAGTGGTTGGAGGCGCCATTGCGACATACACGTGGAATCGATCCCCGCGCCCATGGCCCACCAAGCTTTCCATCCCTCCGGTGTCGGCAGATTGGTACCGAGTTGTCTGGGAAGATAGCAGCACTGGCTCGATACATCGGTAAGCCACTGCGGGTCATTGTAACGGCCAGATATGCATTCAGAAACCTTCAACGGTGCTTAACGAAGTCGAATGCATTATGCAACCCTCACGGATTGATCAACGCCAAGAGCTTTATCCTTAATCCTTTATAAATATATCTATATCTATACCTTATGTACCACCTATTTTTCTATATCTAATTCTCTTATTATCTACCTATTACTATAATATATGTATCTTACCTATTATACATTCATATGTACATCTGTACATTATCTACTATCTATTATATCTATATCTCTATCCATTATTATCTGTCCATCATTTTATATATATAATCGTGATGTCCATAAGGATTTCCAGATTTAGGTAACCTATTAATTGTACAATACAATACTGAAAGAACGTACCGGATCTATCGTAGTTCGACATAAACGTCTTCTCTGATCCGCTCATTACAGAAGCAAAAATAGGTGTCTGAGAAATGACCTTCGTTTGTGCAAGTTGTGGTGGTTCGTGCACGCGATTCAAATGCTGAGTCTGAACAAAGACCTTATCGCTGCCACTGCTTCTAAACTGGTATTTACTTCGAAATAATTATAGAATAACGAACAGAAAGTGACAATAAAAGTGGGAACTTCAGAAAAAGAACTCGCAAACTTATGTAAACCTCGAATGTACGTGGTGACGATGACGAAGTAGAACTCCCAATATGTGATGGAAGATCTGGCGGTGGAGGTGGGAGATCGTGAGGAGGTGAACGACGGTTTAAATCACCCAGTCTGGCAATATGAAATGTACAGAGTGATAATAGAATAACAGATAACAGAAATACAGGTTGCAGAATGATATGACAATAACAATGGGAAAATACCGTATAAAATTTCTTCTGCCATTCTTTAGTACGAATACTGGGGCTGGCGTACTAGAAAAGCCAGGTTTTTTTTACTGGAGAACGGAAGTACTAAAATTTTAAGGAATTTCAGCATAAATTAAGGTTCCATGAAAAAGTGGCTTTAAGTGGTGTGGGATATTGTAGAATTCATCATCATCTTATACGTTCACACGTACTTTTAACGAGGTCGAACATAGGATCCGACGAAGTTTTTGGGAAACCGCGAAAAAGTCCGGCCATGGAGGACGTGATTGCAGAGTTTTTTGTTCATACTGGGTGTAACGTAAGAACGACCCGAAATAGGTTGCTGCCTCATCGCGGCTTCGAGG